TGTGCTGCGGAAGGGCGCGGTAGTGGACGGAATGTTTTGAGCGGGTCCTTGGTTATTGTGTTGGGTCAAAGAGCCCTCACCCCCAGACACGTTCTCACTTTCTTCCATCTCCTTTTCTTTCTTTTTGTCTTGGTTCCTGCTTACTTCCATCTCACCCTTCTTGACACACCGTTGTCCATTTGTATCCTGTCGTTTCTCACTGTCCTTGGTCACAACGAAAGTATTTTGAGCTGCCTGCAACTCAGTACCTGTGATCTTCGGATCCGGTGCTGAGTTGCAGGAGGCACACGCCTTCTGAGGCGACGTTCTTGACGCGTTGATTTCTCCTCTCAGTCTGTTGATTTGGCTCGAAACACCGATCAACAACCTCTCTTCCATACGTCTCATTTGAATTTCAATTGCTCCGACCTGACATTGAAGATTGGTCATACAGCGGAGTAGTTCTGACACGGCCTCATTTTGGCCTGCCGTGCGGGCGTTGATTAAACGCAGAACATCGGACATGGCGTCTGTCTGCCGCAGAATCTGATCCTTTGACCAGTTGTTCGAGTTCTCAAGTACCCTACAGAGTCGTTGAACAACGTTGTTCATATGAACGTGGACTGCCTCGATATGAGACGTGAGCTGCTGTTCCAGGTCCGCTGTGTTTTGGTAGCCTGGATGTGGTGGAGGAGGAGCATAGCCTCCGTGACTTGTAACGCCAGCGAAGGGATGTTGACCGACTGCAGCGTGAGTTTGAGTATTGAAATGCTGGGTGTGGGTCTCTTCGAGTGCTGGTTGATATGCGTCTGCTATCATCACGGTAGGCTGAACTCCCCCGTGACCATGGTTGAAAGATGCAGGATGGCTTGGCTGATCAGTCGCAAGCATCACAGGAAATCTATGTTCATTCGTGTGAACTCCCCGCCGTCTGTGTCTGTGGTCGGTGGTTGGAAGGTCTGGGGTCATCTCGGCACTGGCATTGTCGTATATGGACAGCGAGCTCGGATCCGCATATTCATCTTCCACCGCATAGAACGAGATATTTGTCGATGCAGGGCTGCCCAGATCGTTCTCCGCTCTCAGGCTGCGAATGCTCGGTTGCTCTCTGATGACCTGCCCCTGTCCACTGTTTTCAAGCTCGCCTGCGCGGGCCGCGGGGGAAGAGCCAGTCAGTAGCAGGGTATCAAGCTGCATTGTTATCTCACACTCTCGCTCGACAGGGCTCTGCACGGCGTTTCTACCCGCAAAGGGCCCAAGGCTCAACTTTTCGTTGTTTGGCTGCTCGTCATTTGCCATGGAACTAGCGACGGCACAGGATTCAACACTCGTCTGCGAAAACTGTCCAAAGCTGATGTCCCTAAACGGAAAGGGTGGTGCAGACAATGGGTAGACTCCCGGCTCTCGTGGCTTAGGGACATACAGCTTCTCTTCGTTGAAGTCGTGAGTGTCCCCGCCAGAGGTCTGTCCGCCTTCATTGCCCGCTGCTGGCTCGTTCTTAGAGCTGTCCCTGCGGAACTCCTTTGCAAGGTCTTTGAGACTGAGCTTGGACCTGAGCGCAGCCACTCTGGATTTCATTTTTTCTTTCTGACTGTTTTTGTCCCCCTTATTATTCTCAGAAATGTCTTCGGGCCGAGCTGGCTCGGTGACGGAACGCTTCTTAGTCATGTTAGGGTTGCTCATGACGTCCGGCTTGCAGGCCTCGACGGGCTCGCCATTATCTTCCACAGGAAGGTGGCGTGGCTTTGGCATGGGAAGGGCCAGGTCAGCGTCGTAATCGAGACCCGACGACTTGCGTGAGGTGGTTGGTCTGGCACCCATGACTGGACCCTTACGAGGTATAGCGACTACGACGAACGAGCTTTATTAGCACCAGGGTTCTTCCGTCTTCAGGGGAAAACATTCGTGGACCCCTGTTGAGGAGATACTGGATGCTTGCTTACCTTTGTCGAAGCTGGTAGTCTGCTGCTGAGCGACTACAACAAAACAAGCATGTTAGCACCAAGGTCTTCC